TGTAGTGAAAGAATCTCTCTCTCTCTCTCTCTCTCTCTCTCTCTCTCTCTCTCTCTCTCTCTCTCTCTCTCTCTCCCTCTCCTCTCTCTCTCTCTCATCTTCCTTCTCTTCCCTCCCTCTCTTCTTCTCTCATTCCCTTTCTCTCTCCTCCCCCTCTCTTCTTTTCCTCTCATTCTCCCTCTTTCTCATTTTTATGGGGTGATCCATCATAAAATTCATCGTCTTCCTCCCCTCCTCCTTCCTCTTCCTCCCCCTCTACCCTTCCTCCCCTCTCTCCTCTCCTGCCTCCCCCTCCCTCCCTTTCTCCCACATTAGGATGCCATTTCAGTACTAATAATTGTTCTCTTGGTCCAACTCACAAAAACAAGGATGGTTTCGTTCCGTTCCTCACCCGAGCGTGAATGAGTTCCAGATTAAAATACTCGGATGACAAAGAACGTATCTTGGATTCTTATTCTATTTAATCTTATCTCTCTTATCATCTTTCTCTGTTTTCTTATCTGCTTTTGCTTTTTTTTTTTTTGGTATCACGTTTTGTTATTAATGTGTTCTTCTTTATTCTTTTGTTTTGGTTTTCAATTGTATGTTCCTATTTCTCTTATAATTTGTCTTTATATTATTTTTATTTCCACAAATTTTCTTCAGTGTGTGTGTGTGTGTGTGTGTAATCGTTCTCTGATACTGGAAATTATACCTCCAGGAAGCATTACATACTAAGGTCTAATCTCCTGTTATATGAGCCAATCTCTCAGGGCTTAAGACTATTTCCATCGCCATCGTGTATGTTAGCCGGAAATTTTAAACCTCAGTTAATTAAGCGTTTGGCGTGAATCCTAAACCTCTCCAATGTTATCGTGTTTATGTCCCTGATTATTATTTGCTTCGTTGTGGTGCCAAATCTGTCCCAATGCTGTGTTGCCAAATTTCTTCCTTTATTGTTAGTATTTTTGTTTTCAGTGCTGGTGTACCGTGTATGTTTAAGGGTTGATGTGGCATATGTGTAATGTCGTTTATCTGCCACAGTTAGATTACAGTTTACTGATGGAATTAACTTTTATACTTATGGTTTGTGAAATGTGTGAATAAAACGAGTCCAAATTAAGGCTTACTGGTTACTAGGGAAAACACACACACACACACACGCGCACGCACACACACACACACACACACACACACACACACACACACACACACACACACACACACACACACACACACACACACACACACACACACACACACACACACACACACACACACACACACACACACACACACACACACACGCGCACGCACACACACACACACACACACACACACACACACACAGATATGTTTTTATTTATATATTCCATTCCTGACATGCCTTTAGTCATCTCTTGCACGTCTTGCATGTTCCACTGCCATCTCCGTCCTTCAGGCACGATGACTGAGTTTTGTTTTCAGATGCAATAAGGGAAGAGCGCAACTTTGCTCGTTGTTTTGTTAGGTAATGGTAGGATTAGAGAGAAGGTTGGTTACGGTGTGTGTGTGTGTATATATATGTATATGTGTATTGTGTGTGTGTAATTAACAATTAACTGCCAGGATGAATGGTGAAGGATAGGTAATGTGATCATAGATACATTCACACATGCACGCACATAGTTTTACATACATACTCATTGTCTCATGCATACATATACAAACTGATTTACACACACACACACACACACACACACACACAAACACAACCATTGTAAAAATTATCAATAACTTGTAATAAACCAGTGTATTCACTCCCAGTAAACACTACTTCTTACACTGTCACTGTTGAAATGCCCTGTATTCTGAACTTTTCCCCATCTAGTTATTATATCTCTTATTTATATCACTTATGTTATTTGTATTGTATTTGTAATTCGAAACCCATTCCCCAATTATGTAACTGTATATTTTCAGCCTTCTGGCTGCCAAGCTCTTTCATTAAACCGTTAATTATTATTATTATTATTATTATTATTATTATTATTATTGTTATTATTATTATTATTATTAAATACAAACTTTCATAAGTAGAAATTATACCTTGGAAACTTCACTACCCAAACGACACGTTTAAGTGACTTGGGAGGAGAGGTTATGACACGCGTATGTGACATGGGAGGAGGAGATTAAGCCACCTGTTCGTGACATGGGAAGGGGAAGGAAGGGAGGGAAGGAGGGAGGGTTATGCAGTGGGTTTTTCCCGGGTCTCAACGCCGCAAATATTGACAACTTGTCGATAGACCTCCCCCACCCACCCACCTCCCCCCTCCCCCTCATCACCCCCTCCCCCTCCACCACCCCCCCCTCCACCACCCCCCTCACCCCCCCCTCCTTAGATGGCATGAACCTCGCCTCGCACCGTAGCCAATATCTGCTGAGACGTGCAGTTGAGTCCGTCTACCTGTCCGTCCGTCACAGAGTCGCTCTCGTGTTCGGCTCTGATATGCCTCGTTTGGATTAATGTGTCGTTGTTCTTTTTGAGTAAAGTTCGTCAGTACAGAGTGGTCGTTGTTGTCGTGGAAGGGAGTCGTTGACGTGGTTGAGGTTCTTGGTTGGCGTCGTTGTTGTCGTTGAAGTTAACCAAGACACAAGTTGATAATGAAAAAAAATAGGCATTAAACATGAAGAATCACGGGAGTGTGCGTGCGAGTGCGTGTGCGTGTGCGTGTGCGTGTGTGTGTGTGTGTGTGTCTTTGTCTTGGTGATGGTCTTGAATCGTGTCTTAAGTGATAGTCGGGAAGAATAAAGATTCACTCGTGGAATTCCTTTCAGGATATGTTGAATGGAAAATGGAATTTGAAAGCCTTCTTTGTATTCTTCAATTGCATATTATGTATTGTGTGTGTGTGTGTGTGTGTGTGTGTGTGTGTGTGTGTGTGTGTGTGTGCGTGCGTGCTCCCTCCTTCCTTATATATACTGTCGTATTGTTCTTAAGAAATTGGCAATATCCTTTACTAATATTTGTAGTAGTAATAGTATTGGTAGTAGTAGTAGTAGTAGTAGTAGTAGTAGTAGTGATTTGCCTAATAAGTAGCATCAGTAACATTACATGTATATTTATTTAACAGTATTATTTTTGTAGAATTTACTGCTTCTTTACCTGGAGTTTACCTACACTTTTATTCATCATTTAATTTATTATTATTATTATTTATTTATTTTTATTTTTTATTTTTTTTTTGAAGTGTATATCACGTTATGAGTCAAATTTGTAAATAAACTCCTTCATCTTTCCCCAGTAGAGACCACCAATAGGAACCCACAGTATCCATTCCTCAGTTGTTCTCATTGGCTGCACCTTATGGGAACTTCCTCTTGAACTAACTCTCGTGAGGTCTTCCCGTAACAGCGTCCGATACAGCTCTCCTGTAGGCCTCGAATACAAGCCAATAATGAAGTGCATTTCAAGATACTAATTGGATTCTCATTTAGACTTAGAACCTGTTAATGAAGTGTATCTGTTTTCCCTTCTCAACACTGATTGGGGTTTCGAAGGTGTGTGTGTGTGTGTGTGTGTGTGTGTGTGTGTGTGTGTGTGTGTGTGTGTATAGTGCCACCTGGTGAGAACAGCAGGTAGTTCAGGTATCAGATAGCTCTAATGACTGAGTTCCGACCACCTTGTTGTCGATAATTAAGGAGGACTTACCGTAGACAAGTTCTTAGGTTCTTGCTATATAAAAACAACGCCAACACGAGCACTCAGCAGCGTTTGGCGTTCACTACCACCTCCTCAGTACACATGTTGGCGCGTTCTTTGTCTGTAATGGCGCTCTCCTGTGGTTAGTGTTACAAGTCTTGGTTAGGTTAGGTTAGGTTAGGTTAGGTTAGGTTAGGTTAGGTTATTGGTTCTTATGTAACTGTATAATAATCGCTCGATCACGTATAAGACCTGTGGCAGACTGACAAATGTGGTGATTTACGCCGTGAGAAAATACGTCTAGAGAGACAGATTGTGAGAAACAGACAGAATGGGAGAGACAGATAGACCAGGAGAGAGAGACAGATAGACAGAAAATTGGGGAGACAGAATTTTTTTTACAATAAAGATTACAACAACAACAATCTCAATTACGATAACAACAACAATTACAACAAAAATAACAACAACAATAATCACAAGTACGATAACAACAATTACAACAAAAATAACAACAACAATAATCACAACAACAATCACAACAGTCATAACAACAACAGAAGGAAAGTATAAACACGATGTAAATCCAATACGTCATATCCGTTGTTTTTATTTACTTCAATCATGAGCGCAGGAGTCCAATAACTTTTTTTTTGCACGGAAATATGTATCATCAGGTAAACAGGAAAATGTGGCGACGTGTGTAGCAAATGGACCAACGTCTGAGGCTACGTGTCTGCTGTAGGTGGTGGTGGTGGTTGTCTGCTGCAGGTGGTGGTGGTGGTGGTTGTCTGCTGTAAGTGGTGATGGTGGTTGTCCGCTGTAAATGGTGGTGGTGGTTGTCTGCTACAGGTGGTGGTGATTGTCTGCTGCAGGTGGTGGTGGTTGTCTGCTGTAGGTGGTGGTGGTGGTTGTCTGCTGCAGGTAGTGGTGGTGGTGGTTGTGTGCTGCAGGTAGTGGTGGTGTTGGTTGTCTTCTGCAGGTGGTGGTGGTTGTCTGCTGTAAGTGGTGATGGTGGTTGTCCGCTGTAAATGGTGGTGGTGGTTGTCTGCTACAGGTGGTGGTGATTGTCTGCTGCAGGTGGTGGTGGTTGTCTGCTGTAGGTGGTGGTGGTGGTTGTCTGCTGCAGGTAGTGGTGGTTGTGTGCTGCAGGTAGTGGTGGTGGTTGTCTTCTGCAGGTGGTAGTGGTTGTCTGCTGCATGTAGTGGTGGTGGTATTTGTCTGCTGCAGGTAGTGGTGGTGCTTTTCTGCTGCAGGTAAAGGAACGTGTCTGCAGAAGTAGGGCGGTACGAACATTAATTGATATCGTTAGGTAAATAAATCTTCCGTCTTAATCATGATTGAAAAAGTTGTCTGCTGCAGATATCGAGTGTCTGCTGCACTGCTCTTGGTGTTAAATCGCTCACAGATGGTATTGGCGGAGAGGTGAGTTTACAGATGGTGTGGGGGGAGGGGGAGGGAGATGGGGTGAGTTCTGCCATTATCGTCATCTGTCTGTGGAAGGTGTCTGCCCAGTTAAATGGTGTCTGCGGCAGATGGTGGAGGTGTCTGCGGCAGTGAGGGATAGTGGGGTGGGAGAGTGGTTGTGGTGGAAGCAGTATTTGGTGTGTTATCACTGACAGATGGCAGGCTGATATTAAAAGAACGTTGAGGCAGATGTAGAAGATATGTGTGGCATTGGAAGAACTCTCCGGCAGGTTTTGGAAGGTGTCGATAGCAGATGGCAGGCTGACGGTGGCAGGTATCGGACATTACCTTCAAGCCGCTCTGGATGGACCCAGGTCATGAGTTCCGACGCTAAATTCTTCTTTGTTTATTTATTTTAAAGGAATTATTTCACTCCATCGTCTCTATGTAGGGAGTTAAACCCCAAGTGAGCAGAGAGGTTTAGTGAGGTGTTGAACCCAAAGGAACGAGAAGGTTGAGGGAGGTTTAAGTGAGGAGTGGTTTATGAAGTATAAACCACGAGTGAGGAGGAGAGGAGGAGGATGAGAAGAAGAAGAAGGAGGAGAGGAGGAGGAAGGAGAGGAGGATAGGGATTTAAATATGTATATAAACCCCGGTGCGAAAGGTAGGAAGGTTAGGTTAGGTTAAGTGAGGAAATAATCCCTCCTCCTCCCTAGACGAAAAGTTTTACACGTTTCAGCCAAGAGGAAGAATTTAACAACTTCACAGCGGGAGAGTTTACTTTATGGTTTACTTTGAGACATGTGCACTCCACCCACCCCTTCTAAGACCTTGCCCTCTCCCCTTCTACCTACCCCTTCTCTTCTCCTCTGCCCCTCCCCCCTTCTCCCTTTCCCTTCTCTCTTACCCCTCCTCAGCCATACCAGAACCTGAACATTCCCAACTTGGAACATTCCCACCAGCCTCAGGGATCATACCACAGCAGGATTCCAACCCTTGTCCAACATTACCAAAGCTTCCTTCCTCTCTCCTTCTCTCCTTCCCTCCCTCCCTCTCTCCTTTTCTCATTCCCTCTCTCCCTCCCTCTTTTCTTCCCTCCTTCCCTCTCCCCGTCCCTCCAAACGTTGTGCGGGAGGGAACTTTGTGTACCTGTGTGCCCTCCAGGAGTAGTTGTGAGGTACAGTAAACTTGTTAGAGTAAAATGTTTATGTATTTCGTGTAATGTTCTGTATTGTAGACTGTATTGTATACCTTTGTGATGTGCTGTATTCTTATGTATCCTCGTTACATATTGTGAATTTTTCTTATGTATTCGTAAGTTAGGTAAATATGTTGCGTGTGGATGATGAACCGACGATCCTATATCATAACCTTTGGGGGAATCAATCATCCATAACTCGTCTGAAATCGTGTTTGTTTTTTGTTTTTTTAGTTACGTCAACATCTCTACACTCAACTTTTGTCAATTTACTAACTCATTCACACACCAATGAAGGAGAAAGTCTTTTATTCTATACACTGGCAGACGTTCAATACGGCCAATAAACCCCCCTGATTAATTCACACGAAACTGATAACATCGACCAAGAATAACGAGTAACTGGTCTTGCTGAAATATCGTATTGATTCCTTGGGGTTTGTTACATATTTTTTCTTATTGTCTACAAGATCATTTTAAATTGATTGAATGTTGTATGTAAATGTTCCTTGATTATAAAATACTAAACAGACAAGGTTATGTTTAGATCTGTTTTACTCGGATTAAAGGATCATGCAGAAAAAGTAATAATAATATAGTGGCAATGATGTATAGGTGACGCTGTTTGTAATATGTATATGAAGCACCAATGGGAAGACAGTATGGACCCTTGAGGTATGTAATCTCATCAAATATCGTAAAATCTCGTATTAGTCTCGTAATTTCCGTGAAGTAACTACATTTTACTCCTTGGATAAGAATGTTCACTTAGACTGATTGGACGGTGGGTGTGATGGAGGCCCTCGCGTGACTAATGTTAGAGAGAGAGAGAGAGAGAGAGAGAGAGAGAGAGAGAGAGAGAGAGAGAGAGAGAGAGAGAGTTCTTACTTTACTATTGTACAAACTCCTCAGCAACAGCAGGGGGCGTCTTGTACCGCCTCCCGGGATAATTATGGAGGAAAAAAGGGGGAGGGGCCATAAGGTAGAAGGAATGGGGAGTGAAGGAAGGGAAATGTGGGAGAGGGTATGGTGTTAAAAGGAAGCAGCAAGGAGTAGATAAGGGATGGGGAGTTGATGAAAGGGAGGGAGAGGAATAAGGGAGAGTCAGGGAGAATTACAAAGGGTGTGACTGGAGAAAGTGTGGAGTTAAGGGAAGAAAGGGAGTATGGAGGGTAATGGGTCGTGAGAAGTTAAGGGAGAGGAGAAGGGAAATAAGGGAGTAAAAATATAAAGGGAGAAAATAGTGTGAAAGAGAAAACATGAATTTATTTTCCTTTCCCTGCTATAAAACCACTCTAAACCCTTTCTGAGTGATGGTTTAAACTGTCATCCTCAAGTGGTTTAACTACCATTCTCAGAGGATTAAATCATTGTTCTTGTACAAAAAATTCATCATCCTAAAGGTTTTAAACCATCGTCCTCAAAGGGTTAAATTATCATCCTAATTTTTTAAACCATCTTATTAAACCATCGTCTTGATAGGGTTAAATCATCATCCTAATATTTTAAACCCATCATGTTATTAAACCTTCATCCAGATTGTGGTAACTCATCATGGTATTAAACTCTAGTTCTTAAAAGGTTAATTCGCACAGGTAAAAACCCATGTCATTTTGAGGGGGACAGTGAAGCTCATGTTACCGTGAGTTATGGGATAGTGGTGACGGCGTGATGAGGTGATGGTGGGCGTTGGGAGGGTGGCGAGGTGGAATAGTGAGGGTGGGGAGGTGGAAGAGTGGGAGTTGTGAGTGTAACGAGGTGGAAGAGTGGATGGGATAAATCTCTCTCTTTCTCTCTCTCTCTCTCTCTCTCATCACCATCTCTTCTCCATTACTATGCTCTCTACACTTTATTATAACTAACTCTTATTTACTTCTCTCCTCTTCCGTTCCTTTATCGCCACATTTCACCTTAGCACCGCGCTGGGTATAAATGGTTTGTATTTTTTTATAAAGAACATCTCAAGGTTTATTTTTTTTCATTTTCATTGTAGGTAACATTGAGAGATTAAAAGGTAATTGTTTATTGATATTTTGTTTTTTGAGTGTCAGTGTAAAACCCATTTCAGATTAGTGTGTACAAAATATTCCTTGAACAATACGTAAGGAAATCGTGAAAAAAGGCAAGAGGCCTAACGAGGCAGTATAAATTTCATTCACTTGCATAACAGGTAAAACAAAATTCTTTCAACTTTTGTTACGAACGTGAATTCATTTGAGAGTTATTTTATTACAGCGTAAACATTAAGGATAAAACTAACAAAAGCTCACCGCTAATTGAGGTGTTGACAGTGGCTCCATGGGTGTGTTATATAGGTGTTATCATCACTACACGACCAGGAACATGCTGTGTGGTTGTATGTCAGGATAACATTCCGGGTGTGTGTGGTGGCTACGTGTCGTCCACCTGGTTACTTTGATCTGGTAATCTAGTTGAGGGAATTTTATTGGGTTGAGTGTTTCTATACCAGTCGTCCCTGGAGCCTGTCACACTACCTCGCCCTGAGAGAGAGAGAGACAGAGAGACTTAAGAGATAGGGCGAGGGAGATGGAAAGATAATAAGAATGAGAAAAATCGATAAGTAGATAAGTATTTTTTCTATATCCTTGTGTCTTGATGTGTGTGTGTGTGTGTGTGTGTGTGTGTCTGTGTGTTTGTGTGCGTGAGTTGTCGCTAGTGTTATCCCTTCTGTAAAATGTTTTCAACCTCAAGACAACAAAATACCCCAAACGGGAGACTCAAACTGAATGCAGAAGCGTGCGTGAGAAGAGGAGCAAAAAACACCAGAAATATCGATAGCCGATAGAAAGGGATGGAAATTGTCACTGGCAAATCAAAGGGAATAACACCGAGAGGGAATGGCCGTAAGAGGAAAGGGAAATAAATATTAATAGAGATGGAAAGTGGGTGTAGAGAGAGAGAGAAAGTGAAAGAGGAAGGGGATATAAGAGAGAAGACGAACAATGCGGATAGGAATTAAGGAATGTGAGAAGATAGTGAAGGAGAGAGAGAGAGAGAGAGAGAGAGAGAGAGAGAGAGAGAGAGATGAATAAAATATTTGATAAAAGTGAAACAAAGACAAGATGACGAAAACAAAAAACGAAGAGAGAAAGAGAACAAACACAATAATACCAACAGGATAGATGAACAAATAAATAAAAAAGACTTAAAAAAGACTAAATTCAAGACTAAAGGAAGTATTCTGTATGCCTCTATATGCCTCTATATGCCCACTATGCCTCTATGCCCACTCAAGTCATTTAGGACCATGGCAGGGATCGACTTTCAGCACTAAACCTTTTCCCCATTTAGTCTCGGAGCCAACCAGAGTCTCTTGGACGTCCCTGTGACACAAACTCACACTTGATTTCTTCCTTAAAAACACACACACACACTCTCTCTCTCTCTCTCTCTCTCTCTCTCTCTCTCTCTCTCTCTCTCTCTCTCTCTCTCTCTCCTCTGATCGTGAGTCTTCCGTTCATTCTTGTTACTGCATATTGTACTTCTCGTTTACTCCTCTGCCTTTTCAACTCTTTAGCTTTTATTCTCATCTCCTCCCCCTCCCCCCTCCCCCCCCCTTACACACACCTCAATTAAATTTAGATCATAGACTTACATCTGAATATATATTTACTTCAAGCAACTTCCGTCTTTCATCTCCATGGTCAACTAAGCGAGCTGACCAGTAGTACGAGAAGGTCATTTGGTGGCAGGTTATTTCACCCTTTAGTAGACATAACAATCATATCTCCCTCTCCTTCCTTAGTCAACCGTACAGATAAAAATGATAAGTGGTGGAGAAAAGGGAATTAGAGAGAAG